CTACTACTCTTAGCTACAAAAAAACTGAATCATTTGCGAGAGATCTTTGCATACAAGAAGAAGATCATAGACAAGCTTCTTATGGTGCTGAAACAAAAGGCATTTGGCGAGAATAAGTGATACCTCTACCTCTTCTAGCAAGTTGAAACCAAAGACTGGTAGCGCCTTGTCTAGACACTCCTTACCGATTGGGTGAGTGATAACCAAGCTTTGCCACATAGAAAATGCTCCAATGGTCCTAAGAGTACAATTGAGTCACAAGATACAAGGGCTCATATGGAAAGGGTATTGATCTAGAGAACCATAGATCAACTTGAGTGATGGATTCAAGTTTTTGAGCCAAAATGCACCATCGCTCATGATTGGACTCATCCCATTGTAGTTGGATACTTTGGAAGGAGCAAATGTAGACCCAATTGATAATGGTTGCATCATGTTTGACCCATTGGAGAATTTGAGTGGATGAAAGTTCCCTTTTGCCACCACATGAGTTCTTGACACAACCTTACACTGCCTTCCAAAACCATATAAGTTGTGGACACTTACAAATCCTTTAGGATGGAGATCCCCTTTAGACGCATTTGACTGGATCCAGATGGTGGCTTTACTATAACCAAATATGGTATAGTGGTCAAAACAAATAGTGGAAGCATTATACCGACATGTAATGTTAGGGAACTACACTTATAAGCCAACTATCCAATTCCAAAAGATTGTAGATGAGGTTTTCAAGTAAGTTGCTTTCCATGGATGATGTGATGGGGATGCTTTTTTGAATACAAAAAGCTAGAATCTATCAGAAGGGGACCAATGTACATGGAACCAGCTTCAACCGTATTGCCATTGTGACTGCTAGGATATGAAGGAGGCATTTTTTGGCTTGACTTGTTGTTTTGGTATATGCTGAATAATTTGGACAAGTATTGGCCTGACTCAAGCTTGACGTCATCAGACCACCTTGCTATCTTCCTGTCCCTGCACACTGCTAATCTGCAAGTGATTCTCTAGATAGCTGCTTTTCTGCAAATCTAAGAATGGATGTAAGCAGCTGCTATTGAAATGGCAAAAAAGCTAACCAACCCAGATCTGGAGTTCATTCCACATGGCCAGACTAAGGTGAACATATGCAAGTTCATCCCCGTCCAACAGTACAAGTCCCTAACATCCTTACGACATGATGGTAGTTGATCACCAGGATGGACAATGTCTACTAGGTTGACATCACAAGAGACTAACACACCACCATCAGTCTCCAAAATGTTTTAGGCCAATGCAAGCTTGAATAAATAAAAGTTACACAAGAGGCTCAATGTAAGAAAGAAGTGATATATAATTTCTATTTTCTTCTTCCATGATTGGTATCTAATGAAAATGCTCTCATAATTACTTACATAGTGTACTCTACACTACATCCATCATTTGGCCAGAAGAAAATGGCTAGTCAAAGAAGGAATAGAGAGTGAACAAAAGTTTATACACCTCCAATGTATTAGTGTTGGATTTGAGAGGATCACTTACCATGAGTTCCTTGGTTATGCTTAGAACAAAGAGCACAAGTGAACCATTGATTAGATTTATTTTCTGTTTGATAATTAGAAAATACAACACAAACTCTATTTTCCCACAATGGGATAGACCCCACAGTTTGATAACAAAGGTTTTTTTTTAAAAAGTCTTGTTTACAAAAAACTTTATTATCCCATTAATAAGATAATGGAACATATGAATAGACATGCCATGGTAAAAAAAAAAACTTTGGATTCCTTATAGAATCTTGCATTGAGAGATATGCTATATGGCTAGGCAAGCTATAGCTATTCGACTTCATGGCCACATGCATTGTATTTTTTCACACCAAAAAGTATGAAGCAATGAGAAATAATGTTAGGGTTTCTCACTTGTATCTGTCGCTGCTGCATTCTCCAGGAGTGCATCCAAAAGCATAGCAAGGTTGGGCTGCTACAAGGCTGTGTGCTAGCACAACCATGCACATTCCTCGCCCACACCAAGATCAATAGTTGCTTCGTTACGCATCAGAAAAATGAGTAATGCCAATGAAGTGTTTGCTTGGGTATAGCTCAAAACAACTACTAAGGTCGGGAGGAATCTCACTACCACTTTCCTGGCAGCGCAAAAACTGGTACAAATGATTTGGTTTTTGAGTCTTTCCTCACCCCCAGCCTGTAGGAACTCTTTACGGCCAGAATGCTGGAACTTAATACAACGACAGAAGGGGCTTTCACAGACTCTGCTCAGGTAGTGCTTGTGATATCGACTGATCTAGTATCTAATCACCCCCTCAAAAAAAAGACATGATGACGGTGATTAGACTAGACAGTGAGATTCATGAGACAATAGAAAGCAATCAGGTTGAGCATGTTTGTTCTAGTCTTTGGAAGTCACTTCTGGTGTGCAGCTCAGACATGTACCTAAGTACATTGGCTTGTGAGCATCAATCTTGCATGTGTCATTTCATTCTTGAATCTTAGCTTTGTACTTTTATAAAAATGAGAGATAGAGCTAGTGGAGATTGCATTACTAATCCTCATTTTCCATGATACAGATTCTACCTAGACACCCAAACTATAGGAGGTGACATAGGAAATGTTTGGAGATATTGTTTTGGTCGTGGTTGGTACTAGGTTACCAGACAAATGATCGTACACCCCAAATGAATGTACCAGAAATGTATGAGCTTTTGCTTCTAATTTGTGTAAGGGTCAGTCCCATAAATCCTCCAAACACAAATCTAGCTACTAAAACTCTAAAATCTTCCTATCTTGCAAAACAATTCACTAGGAAAGTTAAATTAGTTTGTCATGCTAAGTTCACCACTTATTGGGAGATGAGGGCTATCCCAACCTCTTTAACTTAAGATCTCCATAGATCCATCACAAACTCAAGCCCTTTCACATGCCCTAAACTCCTTTTGCTAAGTTATAATTTAGCTTATATTTATGCTTTCTCTATTATAACTTGCATAAAAGATATGATGATCCTGAGTTCAAGTTCAAAGACTGGTAAGTTCACTTTTAATAACAACTTCCTTCCTCCAAGTCAAAGATTGGTATGAGGTCTAAATCTCATAGTTTAGCTTCCTCAACTGAATTATGCTTATGCAAACTTATGAATATTCCTATATAATTGGGATTGATAGGATCTACCTTGGAGAATTCCCCCTGGAGGGTAGAAATGCCTACTAGGTTATTATACCAGAGAAACCTTATGATATCAAAGGTTTCCCATTGCATGCACACTATGACTTAGAGGGAGGATTGATCTCTCCTCTCTCCAAGCTTTCCAAGAATTGTGCAGGGCTGAATAGCTTATCTTTTGTGAGGCCTAATGCTTTCACTCTTTTCCACATTACTAAAGTGGGAATATGATCAGTATTTGTTTTTCTTGAGGATTTCAAAGGATTATGATGCCAATGGAGGCAATGGATCAAAGACTTCCACGACCCAGCAGGCATGCTCAAGACATACTTTCATTAACAAAATATAAATAAAAACATATGATAGAAATGAATAATGCCCTCCTTATTGCTGCAGCTATACTTATATAGTCCTCAATACATTACAAGACATATATGCAAATGCATGACTTATACAAAAGAAAATTATAGAAAGGTGGTGTGTGGATAAAGAAATTGGTAGCATATCCATGCACTTTAATGCATGCATTGTAGCTGCTAGAGCTGGATGTTGCAGCACATTCTCTACCTGAATCATAGTTCCATAGCTTACACCCTCAAACCCAGATTGAAGAATCAAAGAACCCTTGGCAAAGTTGTGGGTATGTGGGCGTCCATAGCTTTGGCATGCCATGGCTATTATTGGTAAAATCTTCCCATCTTAATTTTAAAACTTAGTTTTTTTATATTTCATATGTATATGCTTATATTTTAGTTATCAACTGAAAAATATCTCCTTTTCTTTCTGGTTTTGAATTTTGCCACAACTTAGTACATTTAGTCTCTATTTAAAATGTTAGCTAAATTAATTTATGGAGTATTTCATTAAGGTTTTAATATTTTGTAAGTATGTTTTTTCCTGATTATACTTATAATTCTTTTTAATAAAAAATACTATTCTAAAACCGGGTAACTGAATTTTTTATGATAAATTTCAGATCTTTGCTACTCAATCACTTGTGGTCTTGATTGTTAGTGTTTAAAACTAAAGCACAACACATCATGTCATATTTGAATACTATGAAGTAAAGGCAAAATTTTATCACCCAAATGGCTATATTATGCATAGTCTTAAAGAATAACATGACATTTCTTTTGTTCTCCAAAGAGAAAATATATTCTTTAAAATATTTCTTATTGTGTGTTGGGCCAGTTCAGCCACAGGAGAAAATGGGTTTGTGCTGGAATTCTCCCAGGATTTAGGTCTATTTTCAATGAGAAGGATGGCAAATTGATGATGTGGAGTTTGCTAGCAAGGTGGATGGCAGTGATGTAGTGATTGTAGGCTCACACGGTTGATCCAAAACCAACAGTTCTAGAGGAGCAAGGAGGAGCTAATGGCAGTAAAGAGAAGGAGCAACATTTTTTATCGCAAGATCTCTAGGTAGGAAAAAATAGTTAAAGAGAACTTTCAACCTAGTGTTCTTATTGATGCTACTATGAGATATAGGAAAATTTGGTGTGAAACTTAATTATTCTTGTTAAGTATTGTGAATATGACTATAAATATTAAAAGTTATCAGTTAGAGTCAATAAGTCCTTTTAAATATTCTTCTTAGTGGCAGGAGATCAGTAGAAAATCATGACATTTAATATTTATATGTAGTCCATTATATCATTTATAAATTTTTAACATATAAACACAAGATTAATTTAAATAAATTTCAATTGTTAAATAGTAAAAAATAAATATATCCAAAATTACAGTGTTCTTTAAAAAGGAAAATAAGAGGAAAGATAAATGTGAAGTATAGTAGAAACATGTGTGGGTCTCCAGAGAGAGCAAGAGCAATGATGGCCACCAATCCAAAGTACTCCAGCTTCAACACCGTCGCTGGACCATCACAGCCTGTGTCTCCCAGATGGCCCACGCTCTCTCACGCCGATTCCTCCGACCCAAGAAGGTCGCCACGCTTGTCCGCCCCATGATCCTCCTCACCTTCATGGGCAGCGTCCCTCTACCAGGCCGCAAGGAATCCCCAACCTCACCCCACGATTGTTGAGGTGGGCAATCCACCCCTCCTTCCTAACTGGGAACATTCGCTCATCAGCAAGAGTTGACGCACAGGAGGAGCTCCTCACTCTCTAAACCGGAAGCTGGCTGCTTGGACCGGATGGGCAAAATTCTACGGGTACGACGCTGGGGTACGCCAGTTCTTCAATGGTCTTCCAAGGGTGATCCTTGGCGACTCGGTGTTGAAGATGACGCAGGAGGATCTCAGGAAAAGGATGAGGCTCAATGATGAAATTGATGAAGTGCTGAATAGCGACCTTCCCGATTCTAGTTGATGGAAAGGTATACACGATTTCCATGAATGGTGAGAGCTCGCGAGCATTGTGGCAGCTGAGACAGCTGACCAGGTTGGTGCGATCCTGCGGGAGCTCGAAAAACCTCGCCGAGGCAAGGCGGCTTCATGCCCGGATTCTCAGGAGCGAGCATCGCAACACCAAGTTCCTGAACGATCAGCTGGTGATCATGTTTGGAAAATGCGGGAGCGTGGATGATGCTCGCGGGGTTTTTTCTGGCATTGCTGAGCCGGACAGTATCTCCTCAAATAGTATGCTTGCAGCATATGCCCAAAACGGGCATCTTGACGAGGCAAGAGCCATCTTTGAGGGCATGACTAGTCGGACAGTGGTGTCGTGGAACTCAACTATGTCGGCTTACGCCCAGAATCGCAGTTTGAATGACTCAAAAGCGATGTTTGATGCGATGCCTGAAACTACATATGTTTCGTGGAACACAATTATATCAGCATTTGCCCAAACTGGGCATATGGAAGAATCGAAGAGACTTTTTGATTCCATGCCTGAAAGGAGCGAGGTGTCATGGAATAGCTTGATCGCTGCGTACGCCCACCGGGGCTGTGCGGGAGAAGCCATGGATTGCCTAGAGAGAATGCCCGAGTCGAGCGTGGTGTCGTGGAATTCGGCCATGGGTGCGTACATCCAGGCCGGAGAGCTCAAAGGAGCCGTGAAGATCTTCAAGAGCATGCCGGAGCGCGACTCCATCTCTTGCAACGCGATGCTGGCGGCGTATGCCCAGTCCGAGCAGCCCACCAAGGCAAAGAAGGTGTTTGATCGATACAAGCTTGGCAAGAGCGTGGTGTCGTGGACTTCTCTTCTCCAGGCAAATGCCATGGCTGGAGATCTGGACGAGGCAGAGATCGTCTTCTTGCTCATGCCGCAGCACGATTTCATCTCGTGGACCGCTGTGGCCTCGGCGTTTGGATCGAATGGTTGCTTGGAGCAGCTGGAGGCGAGCTTGAATGGATCGTCCTCGGCCGAGAAAGAGGGAGCACAAACGGCGATGGTGGGAGGCTACGCGCAGTGTGGACAAACCGAGAATGCCAAGTCCATCTTCGACACCATGCCCGCTCGCACAATCCTCTCGTGGAGCAATCTTCTCTCGGGTTATGCCCAGCGCGGGCGGAGTAGCGACGCAAGGATGGTGTTTGCCAAAATGCCGATACACGAGGTGCTGAGCTCCACCGTGGTGATCTCGAGTTTAGCGCAGAGAGGCGAAGCGCTAGAGGCGAGGGCGATCTTTGATGGAATGGTTGAGCACAGCGACATCACCTGGAACTCTATTCTCTCGGCCTACGTAGCGCAGGGAGATGTGGAGCAATCCAAGAGGGTGTTTGAGTCCATCCCAGAGAGAGGTATTGTTTCCTGGACTGGAATCCTTCAGGCTTATGCCGAGACTGGAGATTTGGCACTGGCAAACATGACGTATGATCGAATGCCCGAGCAAGACGTGATTTCGTGCACAACACTAGTCCAGGCATATGCCCAAACGGCGCATTTATCAAGAGCAAAAGAGTTGTTTTTGGCCATGCCTCGGCGCGATCGTCTTTCGTGGGTGGCGATTCTCACTGGTTTTTCATGTCAGAGAGATGTCAATTCGGCAAAATTAGCGTTTGATCGCATGCCCGAGCAGGACGAAGTGTCATGCTCGGCTATGATAGCAGCATATGCCGAGAATGGGCATCTTGTAGAGGCGGAGATTTTGCTTCGGAGCAAGCCCAACCAGCAAATTTTATCATGGACGGCGATCATCACGGCGTACGCACAGCAAGGATTCGTGTCGAAAGCCAAAGAAACTTTCGAGAGGTTGAAGAATGTCAAGGACGTGATGCTTTGGACTGCGATGATCGTGGTGTATGCTCGAAACGGGCATTGTCGAGAGGCGGTGGTGACGTTTGAGACGATGACACAGGAAGGAATGAGACCCGACGAGGTTTGCTTTGTGACGATCCTCACAGCGTGCAGTCACGGTGGTCTTTTAGACGAGAGCCGGATGTTCTTTCGATCACTAAGAGATTTTGGGATTCAAGCGACGAACCAGCATTACCTCTGCATGATCGACATCCTCGGAAGATTAGGACACCTCGATCGAGTGGAAGAGCTCCTCCACACCATGCCTTTTGTTCCAGACGAGGAGGGGTGGGGAGGCTTCCTGGGCGCTTGCAAGATGTATGGCGATTTGGATCGAGCTGACCAAGTTGCGAGAAGGACCCCTGGACTGAACGCTGCTTCTCACGTATCGCTGAGAAACATGCTTGGAATCGCGGGGAGAACAGAGGACGCAGCAGCCGTGAGGAAGAAGATGGTTTCTAGCGGCTTGAGCAAGCAGCCCGGGATCAGCCTCATCATCGTCAACAGCGAGATGCACAGCTTCACATCCGGTGACGAATCCCACCCTCGAATCCACGAGATCCGCGCGGAGCTGCAGAGGCTCACGTCTCAAATGCGCGAGTCCGGCTACGTTCCCGACACGCACGACGTGTTCCATGCAGTGAGTGAGGCGGGCAAGAGCGAGCTTGTGTGGCACCACAGCGAGAAGCTCGCTATCGCGTTTGGATTGATCAGCACGTCGCCGGGAGTGCCACTGTGGATCAGGAAGAACCTCCGCGTGTGCCTCGATTGCCACAGTGCCACCAAGTTCATCTCCAAGGTCACGGGACGGTCAATTGTCGTCCGGGACTCGTACCGGTTTCACAAGTTCGAGAATGGATCGTGCTCTTGTGGAGATTTCTGGTAAATCTATATGGTCATAGCAGTCGTTCTTCTATTACAATCCAAGCCATGCCAAGAAACTCAACGAGGACGGGGGCTCAATAGTGTCTTATTGCTTCCTGCGTTCTTTCTTCTGGCTGCTCGTTTAGATCCTCGAAGCGAGCTTCAAGGATTTCCTGAGATAGAAAGAATTGCAGTCAGAGACACGAAAAGTATTAATGCTTGCCTCGCTGCCGCTTCAATCCACTGAGCATTTTCCCTACGTCTTTCTTCCTCGAGACAGATGAGTTTTATACTTAAAACAACTTACCCATCAAACCTGCGATACTCATCCATGCTCACTCGTCCAGCCGCGACTTGGAGCAGTACAAGTGACCCTCTTTCCAAGGGTGGATCACTTGTCAAGCAACTTAGAGAAGAAGTAGTTCGTACGAATACGTTTATTTCTCTTAGAGACGAGCGACTATTTGATGGAATCTGGTGGTAAACTATGCGATTTAGCGAGCTATTATTACTGGTCTGCAAGAGTTCATCACCACTGTTCTTCCAAAGCAGTTGTTAATCTTGTTTTCCTGGACAAGCTTATGCGTTTTGAGGAGATTTCTTCACATCTACTTAAGAGTCAAAAAACAAAGTTTTCCTATCTGTGAGATAAGTGTCTAAAAAGTAAACCAATTAAAAAATGAGTAATTACTTTAATTAGAAACACTGTTTAATTTCTAGATTTATATGCTTATTTTAAAATTAGAAAGGACTTCTAAGAAAAATAAAATGTATAAGATTAAATAATATATAATAATTTACATTTTTAACATGAAAATTTAGTAAATCAATATTTGTTATATCTAAATTAAATTTAATGAGATATTCCTAAATTTTAAATTATCATTAATATTTGTTGGATTAGGGCAAAATATAAGCACTTTAGCGATAGATTGTGACAAGAAACCTTGGTTTTAGTGTTTTTCTCATCATTAAAATTTACTGCTAGTTATTTGGAAATTTATTTACTTTAATTTGATTTTATAATTATAATTAATATCAAGAAAATAACAATATAATCAAATAATTTAAAAAATAAATTAGAAAACTAAAAGATCATATATATAACTCTTTGGAATCCATGTTTTAATGAATAGAGTGGAATTTTTAAAACTTTTTTGTTTTTTAAAATAGATATTTATATTTGTACATATTTATATTGATAAATGGTTTTATAAACAGTAATACTTTCTTGTACATTAAGTTTTTTATTTTCTTCATCTAGAAATCCCATAAATAAGAATGCACCCCTTCTTTCTAACTGGTTATGGGTATTAAGATAGATTTAAATAGTACTAGCTTAGGACAAAGATTAAGGATCCTTGGGTTTAAATAATACTAACTTAGGTGATAGAGATTAAATAGCTTTTGAACAACTTTCTTATATGTTCTTTTGTTCCTCTTTTATTCTCTCTCAACTTCTACAATCACACAAATTCCAACTCCACTAGTAGCAATTGTATTATAGTGAACAATCTTTCTAAAAAAGTTAAGAAGAAGATTTTTTCAGCATACTCAAAAGTATAAATTTGAAGACTCACTAGCTTTTTTATCCCTTCTATAATGATCTTTGTATAGTGAGTTTTTTAAATAGTTTAACTTGGACACTACAAGGTTGATTATTCACAATTGAAGAATAAACAACAGGACAAGAAGAATGGCCAATCTTCTACTCACAGTAAGTTAGATATTAAAAAGTTGTAAACTTTGCAGTGTGAGGATGACAAGAACGACCATTTTGATTGGAGGAAGAAACTTTCAATCGTTGCTTGTCAGCTCAACTGTGTGTGGAACAAGATGGAACTCGAAAATACTTGTGAATCAACTTTAATGCTAGAGGGCGTGTTCTATGGCAATCCAATGTGGATTTTATTGAATAGTGGGAGCGATAACAACTTTGTTTTGGCAAAGTTTGTTGTGGAGCATGGCTTGATCACTTGAAGAGTTCTTCCATACACGATAGAAGGTGTAGCTACCTCTACTTAACATTTCGATGTTTGTGTCGAGGGGCTGGAAGTGTTAGTTGGCAAAACCACACTTGTAAAGACTTTTTATCTCGCGAATATCCATTGTGTGGATCTCATTCTTGGGATGCCATAGTTGATGAAGGTGGATCCAAAGATAAAGTGGAGTATTAAGCGTGTCTTGCTAGAGTATAGTGGCGTTAAAGATGTGTGGTTTGAAGAAGGAGTTCAACCACCAGTTGTTATACTCTCTGCTACATCTTTGAAGTGGGCTTGTCGTAATGGAAAAGCACTTTCGAGTTACTTGCTATTTGTTCGTAACTTGGGGAACTAAGACATATGTGAGGGAGAAGCAGTAGTACAGGATGTACTTGACAAGTTTTCTAATGTTTTTCCTCCATTATGAGGTGTGTAGCATGGGTGTAAGCTTTTGAATTTAGACTTTTCGGGACAAGTTTTCTAATGTTTTTCCTCCATTATGAGGTGTGTAGCATGGGTGTAAGCTTCTAAATTTAGACTTCTCGGGAGGTCACCCAACCCAATACTATTCAAACCCAAGGATGCTTAACCCCAAATATCCCAAGACCCTTAACCAATTGAAAAAGGGGGTGCACTCTTATTCATGGGCCCTTTCCCTTTATATTTGAACCTCATGGATCATCTCTTAAGTTGTTCTCTTTAGTTGCTTACAATGGGATTACATTGGAGCTGGGGACACGGCCAATTTATATGCGTCCATTTCAATTAAGTTATGCGGAGGAGCAAAAAGTTCAATGACAAGTCAAAGAGTTACTTGAGTTTTGATTTATTCAACTAAGTAAGTCTCCGTTTGGTGCTCTGGTCTTGCTTGTGAAGAAGAAGGATGGTTCAATACGAATGTGTATTGACTATTGTGCCTTGAACAAAAAAGACAGTGAAGGATAAAATGCCGATGCTATGTGTGGATGATATCCTAGACAAGCTTAGTGAAGCACGAGTGTTTACCAAGATTGATTTGAGGAGTGGATATCATCAAATTGCAATGGATGATGCATCTATCTCTAAGATGGCATTCAACATCAGCTTCGGACATTTTGAGTTTACAGTTATGCTATTTGGTTTAACAAATGCACTAGCCACATTTACTCGGTTGATAACAGACATATTTGGGCATTATCTTCATGAGTTTGTGGAGATTTCTTTGGACAATATTCTTGTTTTCAACAAGAACATGAAAGAGCATAAGGTGCATTTGCGCAAGGTTCTTTTCTTACTCCGAGACAACAAACTTTATGTGAAGAAGAGCAAATGTGAGTTTACAAAGTCGGAGGTGGAATATTTTGGCCATATTGTGACATCTAAGGGTGTCAAGACAAATCCAAGGAAGGTGGCTATGGTGGAAAACTGATCTACACCAAATATAGTGGCCGAGTTGTGCAGTTTTCTTGGTATGGCTAGTTACTACTGATGTTTTTAGCATAAGTTTGTAGAGGTGGCTATTCCTTTGATGCAATTGCTACGCAAAAACGTACCATTCGAGTGGAAGAAGCCACAAAAGGAGTGTTTTATGGCACCAAAATGATTGTTGAGCAAGACTCTAGTGCTTCGCATTGCTGATCCATCAAAACCTTACGAGGTGACATGTGATGTGAGTGGTTATGCACTGGGAGGAGTTCTCATGCAAGAGGGAGAGCCTATTGCATATGAAAGTTGAACTTTGAATTTTGCAAAACAACGTTATTCCACATATGAGCGAGAGTTATTCTTTATTGTTCATGCTTTGCAGACGTGGTGGCACTATCTTTATGATGCAGTGTTCGTGGTGTTGACAGATCACAAACCACTTGTGTATCTTTTCACACAGAAGGAGTTGAATATTAAGCAAGCTTGTTAGATGGTCAAACTCATGGAGTTTGGGGATTTTCCTATTGAGCATCGTCCAGGAAAATCAAATGTGGTGGCAGATGCTTTATTTCATGTTCGTCATGTAACGACATTACAAACATGATTTTGTCATTATTTGAATAAGGTGGTCAGTGAGTTTGGACAGTTGCTTGAGCGTGCTCAAGCTCAGGATGCTAAGGTGGCCTCTTTGCAAAACTAGATAGAAGCCCTTTCTCATTGGTGGATGGGATTTTCTGGCCATGTATATTTGCCACGGGTGGATGCGTTAATTACTCAAGTTTTATTCCACTATCATGATCATCTAAAGGCTGGTCATTTTGGGGGAAAGAAGATATATGAGTTGATTAAGTGCAATTTTTATTGGAGGAATATGAAGGCTAATATCCTCAAGTATTGTAAATCATGTGAGCTTTGTCAGCAGGTTAAGGTGCCATGGGAGAAGTCAGGGGGACTTTTGCAACCAAACTAAGTCCTTACTTTGCCATGTTTGGAAGGCATCCCCGAATAGCGGTGGAATTGGGATTACATTTGAGTAAGGACGTTCAAGATAAACTTAATTCCAAGGTAACTCATTTGGCCACAGAACTGGATGAGATTCTAGTGGTGTGCTGTAGCGCACCTTATTTCTCTCCCCTTAAGCCAATTGGAAAAAGGGCAATTGCTTGATGGGAGAGCCCTTAATGGCTATTTTATCCCCATTTATCCCCTAAGGTTCTAAAGATCTACGGTGATAATATATTTAAATCTCATCCTATGATCACATGCGCTACATTCACCCCCCCTTTAGAGATGTCAATGTCCTCATTGACTATTAACTAACAACCCCTACTGAGCCAAGGGGAACCAGTACCTCCATTTTCGCACTCAATCTACCAATCCTTCCATTGGTTCAAAGCCAATTGGAAAAGGGGCAATTGCTTGATGAGAGAGCCCTTAATGGCTATTTTATCCCCATTTATTCCCTAAGGTTCCAAGGATCTACGGTGATAGTATATCTAAATCTCATCCCATGATCACATGCGCTACACTCACCCCCCCTTTAAAGATGTCAATGTCCTCATTGACTATTAACTAACAACCCCTATTGAGCCAAGGGGAACCAATACCTCCATTTTCGCACTCAATCTACCAATCCTTCCATTAGTTTAAAGCCAATTGGAAAAGGGGCAATTGCTTGATGAGAGAGCCTTTAATGGCTATTTTATCCCCATTTATCCCCTAAGGTTCCAAGGATCTACAGTGATAGTATATTTAAATCTCATCCCATGATCACATGCGCTACACTCATCCCCCCTTTAGAGATGTCAATGTCTTCATTGACTATTAACTAACAACCCCTACTGAGCCAAGGGGAACCAGTACCTTCATTTTTGCACTCAATTTACCAATCCTTCCATTGTGTAGACCAGCTAGTCCCACAGTGGATACCTTCGTCTGGGATACTCCTGAAGAGGAATGGATGCCATACATGGATGCCCAATACATACAATTTTCAAATTTAGGGGTAGGAATATGCCTTGCTCAAGGGTATATTATATTTTAAGTAGCCACTAATCAATGAGAATTGAACCCATGCCATTTGCTCCGATACCAACTATAGCGCACTTTATCTCTCTCC